TTCTGGCTAAAATGACTTAGCAGGGTTCTTGCTAAAACTAGATTTTACAAGGGAGTGTATAGACGGACCTACGGGAAGCTTCAGGAGCCTGACTGAAGTTTGGTCAAGCAAAAAAATCTTTGTCAGCCAATGAGATTTAATTGAGATCCTTAAGTTATAGTATGCTTGTTCAAAAAAGCACTGTCATTCATTTATAATCATTACTCAACATTAAGTTCAAAAAAATGATGAATGAAAGAAAAACAATGCCAAGTAGTTGTAACTGAGCTTAAACTTGAAAAGGCTTGATTTCTGAATTTAGGTTCAAGCTGTTTTGTCACAACTCAAGACATAAATTTTTTGATATCATCAAGGAATATTGTGGATAGCAATAAAAACAGTAGCTTAAATAATGGCTGGTTCATCCTTTTAAGGGAATATAAGGAACTTACAAAATGTCACATTCCAAAGTGAAGTTGCTAAGCAAAAAACTTGCTCTTTTCAACTTGATTAATACTGCCTATGCTGTTACATAGAAAATTCCACACACACCTAGGGGCCAAGCCAGTATCAATTTCATACAAGAAAACAAAAACCAGACCGAAACACTCACTCCCTGAAAGTTGCAAAGTATCATGATACTCTACTGTATTAAAATGAAATACTGATGACAGCTCAGTTAAGCACTATTTGAGCTATGCTTACACCTTATGTAGATACACCAATGAAAAAGAACAGGTACGCTTGAAGTGCAAATGTTTTATTTACATACTTAAATACTTCTTTTCCGCAACTGAATACTTACTGTAATACGGAATACAACCGCTTTCCCCCTCTCAATCGGTATCTTGTTAAATTTTTTGCTTTCATGTTTACATACATAGGAAAACACCTTTATAACAAGTTTTAGAATTAAAGAGGAGACTCTGAGATTCAGCAACACTGCCATACCCATTCAAAGTGCCAGCAAATGGATGAAAATATTACTGAAACTCAGACTACAAATTAAACCACATTTTTTCACTTGCATGTTGTTAGGATGGAAGAAAAAAATGGTGATATTTACTGCAGAAACTCTTAATAGATATGATTCAACGTAATACATAAGCATATTTTATACTCACACTTGCATAAGTGTATAATGTATTACAAAAATAAAAAATCAGAGATGGTAAATGTAGTTTTCATTGATTCCTTGATTGTTTAATTTATGCTCACTTTCCAAGCTCTACAGGCTATCATTTATAAATTAATGTTTTCTGTGATCTTTTCACTAAAAACTTTATTATCACTTTCAGAACATGATTGGCATCAAAAATTTTTTAGTGGGAATCTATTCTTCCAATTCATTCAAATTGGTGGATTTCTCCTCACCATGAATTCTCTACTTAATAAGGTTTATAAAATATTTAAGGTTTTCTCATACTCTTAAGTGAACATTATGTATGAATTTTCTGATGTACAATGAGATTTGACTTCTGGGAAAATGCTTTCCCACATTTGCTACATTCATACGGCTTTTCTCCTGTATGAGTTATCTGATGTCTAAGGAGATGAGACTTCTTGATGAAGGCTTTGCCACATTCAATACACCCGTAAGGTTTCTCTCCTGTATGAATTCTTTGATGTGTAACAAGCACAGATGTGTTGCCAAAGGCTTTGCCGCATACGATACATCGGTAGGGTTTCTCTCCTGTATGAAACCTAGAGTGTTTATAAAGGGACGAACTATACCTGAAGGTTTTCCCACACTCCTTACATTCAAAGGAGTTCTCAAGGGTATGAGATTTCACATGTTGCGTAAAGGAAGAGTTCCAAGTGAATGATTTCCCGCACTGACCGCATTCGTAAGGCTTCTCTCCTGTGTGGAGTCTCTGGTGGACCACCAGTTGTGCTTTATGCATGAACGCTTTCCCACAATCAGTGCACACAAAGGGTCTATCTCCATTATGGATTTTCTGATGACTTGCAAGGTGTGCCTTCCTGCTATAGGCTTTTCCACAATCGTTGCATTCAAAGGGTTTTTTTCTTGCATGATTTTTTTCATGTCTAATAAAATGAAACTTCTTTTTGAAGGCTTTCCCACATTCATTGCATTCGTAAGTGTTTTCTCTAGTATAACATCTGTTATAATTAAGTAATTCTAAAGTAGGCTGCAAACTCTTTCCATATGACTTACATTTATATGATTTTTTTCTTGTAGGATTAAGACCTGTGCTCATATTATAACCATGGAGTCTCTCCACAGTCAGAATTTTACAGAATGTGAACAAAACTGAGTTCAAAACATTGTCTTTGCTTTCCTGGTGCTTGCCTGGGCAGTCAGCTTCTAAAAAGGAGTACAATAAGACATTCCTAGTTAATTTCTGCCATCAACGGTTATAGAAAGAAACTTACATGTTTTCAAATCTAATCTGTCATTGTGAAGCAAATCCTGTATTTGCCTTGCTCTCGAGCTTTAAGAATAAAACTGCTGAAGAGGAAACAGGAGAACAGACTGGCAATGAGAAGAGATGGCTTAACTTGTGAGCTTGAGGAAAGGTAGTAAAGTAGGTACAAGGTACAGTGGGTAGGGTACAAAGGAAATAAAGCTGTTCAACAAAGGTGCATGGTTAGCTCACAGAATGAAGAGAGCCCACTATGGAGATGAGATCAATGAACAAAGTAACCAGGGGAACAAGAAACAAGAAACAAGAGAGTTAAGGGAAAATAAAAAAATACAGCATGCCGGTTTTAGTAGGTGGAGCACAGCAGAATCAAAAGGACTGATACAGAGAAGATGATTGTGTACAGAGGATGCTGAAGAGTCCAACTGCCATGAAATAGGAAAAGATGGACAATTCTGGATAAACAAAATGGGATCACATTAAAGAAGGTCTTATAAGCCATTTAAAGACCACAGTACAGGTTACAAAGGAATAATTTATATTTATTTGTCAGAAGACTGACAAAAAAAACTAAGTAATTTGAATAAATCTTGCAGGAACATCTAAGATGAACCAGCAAATAGAACGGAATTGGCAATATAGGTACAGAAACAGCCTAGACAGCATATCAGGAATTAAAACCCATTTGGTTTATGTTAGTAGAAAATGGGGCCCCAGGGAATCTAAAATACACTTAATTGGTGTCTTACTCATTTGAAACATACTTCTTTTATGAGCTCTGTGGAAAGGGAAGATTTTATTTTGAATTACTTGGGTAAACCAATAGTTGAAATCATAGGTAATAAATCATAGGTAGTATTTAAGGAGAAATTCTTAAGAGAAAAAACCAAATCGCTTACCACAGTGATTTTGAGACTACAAAGCAACAGGCCAGTCATTACCCTTGATTGTAAAGATAAAGGTAAAAGGCTGAAGGATATTAAAAATTGGTTACTATGAAAAAACAGACAATAAAGCCAGGTGGGATAAAATTATGGGAATGGAAAGTTCATGAGGCAAAGAGGCTGAAGACGACACAAAACAAATAACTAATCTTCAGAGTGATGAAGTTTCTGAGGGAGTTATTGTGGGGAGAAATGCAGAAGATGGAAGAAAAGGCAAGACACAAACGGGGAATAAGCAGTAAGAAAGGGTGAAGGCATATTAGTGAGAACCAATTCAAATAAAATTGGACGAGAATTTCAAAAAAATATCAATATTGTCAAGTGAAACAGAAAGATGCACTAGAAGGCAGATATCCCAAGTGAACTTGAAGACTAAAGATGAACCAGGTGGGTACACAGGTGGAGTACTTGCTGCAAGAAAAGGGGTGACTTTTTTTTTTTAAAAAAGAAAAGAATTTGAGCATATGTTACTAACAGTTTTGAAATAAAAACAACATATACTGAACACTTACTGCCTGTCAACTAATTGAAGGGTTCTGCATCTATTAACTCATATAATCTTTACAAAAACTTGAGGTAAAGACTAATATTATCCCTATTTCATAAATAAAGTTGTGCTACAAAAGAATTAGGTTACACAGTGATTGGTGGAATAAGACCAAACCCACACAATCTGACCACATTATTAGAACTAGGTGTATGAAAAGATCTGCAATCATGTT